ACTTAAGTTGGCTACAGGGATCCCAGATTAAACATTATTTCTGGATGTGTCTGTGAGAGTGTTTCTGGAAGAGATTAACATTGTAATCAGTAGACCGAGCAAAGCAGATTGCTCTCTCAAATGTGAATGGGCATCATCCAGTCCATTGAGGACCTGACTAGCAGAAGAGGAGGAGGCAGAAAGAAAGAAATCATGCCTTTGTTCCTTGCCTCACTGATTGAGCTGGGACATCTCGTCTCTTCTTTGGATCTCAAACTGGGATTTACACCATTGACTCCCGGTTCTCAGACCTTTAGACTCAGACTAAATTATACCACCAACTTTCCTGGGTGTCTAGCTTGCTATGGCAGATCATAGGATTTCTAAGCCTCACTGGCATGAGCCGATTCCTCAGAATAAATCTACATCTACATCTCCATCTCCATCTATATCTATATCATCTGTTTATATCTATATCTAGATCTATATTTATATATATATATATCATTGTCTCATTGTATATATCATTATACATATAATTTCCCCATCTAAAAGTGTAACTAAAATTAAATGAAGTTATATGTGGGGGGCTTATTCTATAAGACTACTGTCCTCAAAAGAAGAGGGAGAGACACCAGGAAGGTACGCACACAAAGGAAAGACCATGTAAAGACACAGCAAGAAAACGACCATCTGCAAGCCAATGAGAGAGGCCGCAGAAGAAACCTAACCTACCAACACCTTTATTTTAAACTTTTGGCCTTCAGAATTATGAGAAAATAAATTTCTGCTGTTTAAGCCACCCAGTCTGTGGTATTTTGTTTTAACAGTCCTAGAGAACTAATACAGACACTTACTTAGTATGCTTCATATTTTTCTTATTCCTAGAATGACCTATTTCTCTTGTCTTCATAAGAAATTTAACCCATCCTTCAAGGTTATTTCAAATGTCACCTCTGTGAAAATTTTTCCTAATTTTCTGCATTCCCATATTTTGACGTATTTCTTTCATAGAACTTTTTACATTGCGTCAGTATGTCTCTTGTACTAGATTGCAAATCCTTTAAGAAGAGCAACTATATAAAACCCATCTTTAAATTTCCAATATCTAGCTTAATGCCTATTGGATGAATAAATGAATGGATGTGTGAATGGATAAGTGAATGAATAAATGAGATGTGATTTCTCCTTAAGGTGCCATATTTCCTGCTGCTTCTAGTGGCTATTTATTCTTCAACACTGCCATCCAGGGCAGGGTGTGGAGATGCTCCTGGCAACATTCTAGCTCTCCATGGCTTCTTTCAGATGACTTGTTTTCCAATTTAAGCCAAATTTCCTCTTCCTATTTTGGTATTACCATATTCTACTCTTCTCATTACATCATCTATCAACCTCTCGGTCATTCTTCTCATTTATTGAGAACTTCTGTTCCAAGACCACAGTCCTCTCTACCCTAACATCAGTGACTTTCAATCCCATGTAGGTCATCCTTTTCAAAAACAGATTCAAAATTTCTTCCTCAATCCTAACATGTTATCCGTACCCTACTTTAGGAACTTATTACTTGGTCGCGCCCAGTCTTCATCATCACAAAAATGTTTTTATCTCTAAACACTTAGGCTCTGTAGTGATTCAAATAATGCCCCCTAGATGTTCACATCCTAAATCCCAGAACCTATGGCTATATTACCTTATGTGGCAAAAGAGACTTTGCAGATGTGATTAATTTATAACTTGAGATGGGAAGATGATCCTGCATTACCTGGGAGGGCTCAATGTAATCACAAGGGTCTTTATAAGAGGAAAGCAGGATGGTCAGAGTGAGAGAAAGCAATGTGACAACAGAAACAGAGGTTGATGTAATGTGGGGCCATGACCAAGAGAATGCAGGTAGTTGGAAAGGGCAAGAAAACAGACTCTGCTTTAGAGATTCCAACCTATTTTAGACTTACGACTTCCAGAACTGTAAGAGAATAAATTTTTAAGATACTGTAAGCCAGTAAGTTTGTGGCAATTTGGCTAGAACAGCAATAGGAAACTAACACAGGCTCCAAGAGACTAATTTATAACCACAAACTGTTCTCCTGACTCACTCACTCTCCCAGCACACCTAACCCTATTCTCGCAATTGATTACCTCTCTCCTAGGCTTCATTTGTTTTCCTAGACACCAAGACATCACAATTTTAAATTTTAACAGCTCTGTTCCCAGAATGTCAAGGTCCTAATCACTTATCCTTTCATCTACTCTGATATTGCAAATATTGCAAACAACCAACCTCTTGCTTTCTTCTTTCCTACACTGAAAATATGAAATGTCGTAGGAGAAAATTACTCGATGATATGTTTTGGTGCCACTACAAACTCATTATATTTAACCTCAGCTAGACCTTCAGTCCCTCTTTATTCTTTTACATGACCTTTATTAGTGCCTTCTTTTTATTCTCATAGCAGTAATTAGAAACCATCAATGCTTCTAAAGTCACCTGCTCCATGAGTACCCCACTCCTTAGTACGTTATATTGACTTCCACTTTTGAGAGAAAATCAAAGTGTGGCATTGAGCTGCCTCCAGCATGGCCTCTTGCTGCAGTCCCCCTTGTTTGTTTCATCACTGTTGCCTCTGCCTAAAAGACCTTCCTTTCCTCTTCCCCTTGTTCTAACCTACATTAACCTAATAATAACTTTCTTACTTCTTTTTATTTTTCCAACCTAAAGTTAAATTTTCTATGAAGACTTTATTATCACCATCCAGTTCCCCAGTTGACCTCCCCTCTTTTGTGTTCCCATTTTATTGTACATACATCTATTGAAACTATCATACCACATGTGATAATGTTCAATTACATTCATCTATTTATGTATCTCTCTCCTTTAACTAGACTGAGAATCCCTTGAGATGAATTAGTGTCTTATTTGTCTTGTTATCCCCAGGACTCTAGCACTATGCCTATAATGTTTTGAGAAATAGTAAGAAGGAGAGAAGGAGGGGCCTATTGAAATGGTAAGAGTTGTGGCCAGTCACCTTCCCCCACCATGTACATAAACCATCACCACCGCTAAACATTAGACTTGCCTGTCACCTTCTCTCCACGATTAGTCTGTTTGGAGACTGCAGTTCGTCCCAGACCCTTAGGCAGAAGCTCACAGCAATCAAAATGACAAGCGCACTGGCATGTTCATCTGAGAGCCCTGCTTCATCAAATCCACTTCAGAATCATGTAGACACTTTTGGCTACCTCGGTGCTTCAGACCATCTGGTCAGGTGGCATAGCGCCTACTTACAAGGTCAGTTTCTTATTGCCCAAAATTATCCAGATAATGCTGCAAAGTAAACTTTCTTTCTAAACTGTCATAGGGAAGTCTTCAGAATCATCACCAGTCCATGCCTTATCCATTTCTTTTAGTTCTCAGTTAGGTAGCAGGGATATTTCTCCAGAACATTGTTGTGATCTTCTAATTGCCCCTGAGGACAAAGGAATGGTCTGGGAGGACAAATACAGGTAGGACCCAATTCTCATGTACCTTTTCTGTGGGAAGGAGAGTAGCAATGAAGTGGGATCTCAGAAATGCTGGAAATAATGACCAGAATTTTGGTATCTCAGGGATGTGTCCAGTCTGCTTCATAGACATTTTGACCCTAATCAAACTTTTTACTTTAGAAATTATGCCCCACATCTAAATGTTGGTTTTTTTGCATTCAAAACAATCTTTACCCCGACAGTAGAAATGGAGATGAGAGTAGAAACCGAAAGATGCTTCTTGGTGACACAATTTTTGGTTGGAGTTTGCCTGAAGATTCCTCTAAGTATCTGGGGCCTAATGTTATAATGACAAAAGGCTGCTAACTGCATGGAGAATGCTGAAAATGGGCAACCACAAGCAGCTCTATACAAATGAGGTACATCCTGTGCCAGAATAAAAAGGATAGCTACACTGAAGACAGAGCTCCTAGGAACCAAGATGGAGAAGGAAGCCAGCTTTACATGAAACTGGCACAATGTTACTCGTGGTCAGATATTTAATCTTCCCATAGGTAATTTTGTCTGTGTAGATAACTGAAGGAAAATTTACTAAAATCAAAACGAATCAAACATAGAGCACATTCCAAAGCAAATATATTAGAGGATTGTCTGAAAATACATCTGTACCTCTGCCTTCTTTTCCTATATATTTGGAGAGGAAAGGGGAAGAGATGGAGAGGAATAGAAAGAAATTCTCACCCTTGAAGATTCAGTGGTTAAGTGGTTCCCCCTTAACCACTGCAATCCACAGTGATCTCTCTTTCCCCTGAATTCCTATAAGATTTTGCATTTTACTATATCTCCTGCTGGCTTGCATTATTAGATATCCACTCATGATCCAAGAACTCATCTCCCCAGTTAGTTGCAAGGCCCTTGAGGACAAGGACTGTTACACTGCCTATCACAGTGATTGAATATTGCAGACGCTCAAAATATTTGGTTGCTTAGGTAATGCCACCAGCAAATAATTCCAAATCACAAATATAATTTTGCCATACAGTATGAAATTTAAGGAATAAATCTATCTTTGTGTTAACATTTTATGCCTTGTATTTTGCAGTTACTTAGAACAAGTTCAGAGAGCTGAATATTGGGATGGCGTGGGGGTTGTTGAGAGAACCGGGATGAATATTAAAATGTGTCAGGCCAGTGAAAAAATGTCCAAATGGGATTTTTTTAAAACTGGGTTTCTGAGAATCTTTCCTAAAAGGTAAAAGGTGTTTTCTGGCGTCGTTTAATAATTAGAGCTGGAAGTCTAAGTCTTTGAGGGCTCCTTACCACGTTGGGAATTTGGGCACACTTTGCGGCTACGCGATCTGCACTCTCATGGTCGGAGGACAATTTGTGACAGTGCTGTCACGGCGGCTCCTCAACACCAGGCGGCGCCGGGCAGCGCACCGCCTCTGGACGCGCGGCCGCTCTTC